ACGCATTACCCCGCCTTTTAACATCTTTCGAATTTTCTATTGGCCGAGAGATCCGAAAATGCCATATAATTATTAAAATACTTTTAAATATGCAACAATCTTCGGATATCGGTCAGTCAGTCTCGGTCTATCGGCTCCCAAATAGGGTCTCTGCACCCTGGGAGTCCGATGTCGGGGCGCTGCTCCGGTTCTCCGAACATTTTAGACTCTGTGGCTGGACCCTGTCCACCTTCTTTACTGTGTTTTATTTATTCTACCATGAGAGAAATGTTAATACGCAGAGGGCACTTCAAATAGACTGGTCGAAGTTCCTCTGTAAGGCACCGTGGGAAGCCGTTACCTCCCATATGGTGATAAAGCCATTATTCAAAATTGGTTTAGAGCTATTAGTCCATGCCTCGCAGAATCGAGTCTGTCCTAAAAAACAAAGGTTATCCCTCCAAATACTAAGTAATTATCTTGATATCAACCATTGTACCATTTTTTATTAATATATGTACTAATAGCTAACAGCTGTTGTTTTATTTATTTTTAAATTTTTGGAGGGTTTTTCCTCTTAAAATAGATGTTAAATATTAAGCAGAAGCATAAAACCATGCAAGAGATAAACTTATAAATAACATAAGTCTTGTGAAAAAGAGAAATTCTGATAACAAAACTACAATTTTTGTAAAGTATCCAGAATTTTGGCCACTAGTGTATGTCTATGCTTACCTCCATAAACATCTAATACAAGATAGATTTTGCAATATCAGCCTGTTCCCCCAGTGCGACAGAGATAACTGACGCAAAGCAGTTCCTGCGTATTTTTCTAATTTGCCAGGTTTATCCACCACTTGACCTAAATGACCAATGAGGTCACGTGGTCGATAAGCCCGGCCCATTAGATAGAGAAGCAGTGACTGCTTTGCTCTGTCGCACTGGAGGAACGTGACTGTATTACAACAGTCAGTCTGTATTGTATTATATGTCATATATATATGCTTAGACCTGGAATTTTCTTTGGTTACTTTTGATATACATTTTTTTGTGCTGTATATCATAAAATATTTAGACAATTTCCTTAAATTGTATGTTCCAAAGGTTACAAAAATGTGAATGAATTCTACTAAGAAAAATTATTGAATTTTTCCAATATCTTATAACATTGATGAAAGACGTGAAGCTTAAAAAGGCAGCCATATAGTATTTTATCTAAATCTTAAAACACTATCATAAAATATTGCGATATTGCACTAAGGTAATGCCTTACTTTCATTTTTAGCGATTGGGTACCTCTGCACTGATATGGAAATGAATGTTTTGCAACACTATTTAATGTAAATAGTGCAAATATAAAGAACTATCATACAATATTTACAATGACTAATAAATAAAAATAATATATGGTATACAGGGTGTTTTAAAAGATAAGCCAAATATCACTAAAATATGCAAAAACACTGGTTTCATAAATTTATTACTTTACCTTAATAATTCCTCCAATAAGTCATCTTTCTCAAACGATCTTTTTTTAAAAATACACTTGCTATTTATAGGTTTTTACTGGACAGAATATTTAAGTTTTTTAATGTATGTAATAATATCAAAATAGACCACTTGACAAAGGTGTCTCATCACTGATACACAACGGCTCTGACGACTTTGTAAATATTTGGAAAACAATTAGGTTCTGTAACTTCATTCTTACTACTTGAGGAAACGTAATGACATACATTTTTAAAACACCACATATACATGATGACACAATCTCTAACAATGATTGATATCTCCTGATATTAGTAGTAAAAAGAAACAAAGTGTTAATTATCATTTCACTTTTTAAAAGTATCCTGAATTGTAAAAAGGAACATATGGTATATATTTATAAAGTGTCTTTTGATTTCTATGTAAAATAAAATGCAATAAAAATAAACAGGTATTGCTTATGGATGATTTGCTTTCATCTACATTTTCTAATATTCAAATAAATTGGCTGTAGGGTTCAAAAATATATAAAACTAAGAGGTAAACCAGAGAAAAAGATTTGACACAAAGAATTTTTCGTTTATTTGAAATCTTATGTAGGTAGGCTAAAAACTATAATGCCACTGTCAAACATTGTATAACTCAAAATTGTATTCAAATATGTCATTACAAATATTACTTATTTTGAACATAGGAGATATCAATCCTCGTCAGTTTTTGGGCCCTCGAATCTCTTCAGATATGTGTACTTGTTCTGATGAGATTATGACTCTCAAATTGATTGAAATGGAAATCTGTTACAGACAAAAACTATGGGTACACATACAGTATACAATTATTTATTTCTTAAACTATTGACCCAAGGATACTAAACCTGTCCAGAAAATCTGTAGATTTAGAAACGTTAAATAGGTAAGAGACAACATCTTAAATAAAACTAAATGCCACTGGTTTCCTTTCTATTTTACATCACATCCAAAACTTACCAAACAATTCAATTTCTATGTCTACAGAATAGTACTATTACTACAGATCATGAAATTGATTTTTACAGCAGTAATTCCTTGCATTACCTCTTAAATAATGAAGCAGACAAAAAACATTTATCAACAAATTTTAAAAATTCTTGTTTTCTGTGATATATTCAGTACAAATAAATATTTTGTGTAAACATTTAGTTTTCCTTTATTATTAACACTGTGTTTTTGTTATGATACTTTTTAATATAACATAAATGTTTTGGCAGCATTTATAAACCTAATTTTTCTACTGGCAAAATGACAAATCTGAATCAGGAATGATGACATAGGAGGTAAAAAATATCAAACTATCACATTCCAATAAAAATTGTCATTTCTTATTAATCTTACTGGGAAACATATAAGTGATGTATAAGTCATCACTGTTTAGTTTTTTGTGGATTTCACACATTTATACAACCAATGACCAGTTTTTGGATTTATTTATGTTGCTATTTTTCCTACCATAAGTATTTTGACTTTTCATTATTTATATATTTATTATGCCTACAACATTTTGTCGAACTAGCCTTTCAACAACATATTTACTTTATTTATCAAGAAATTAAACATTGCTAAAATGTTGCTGAACTTAAGTAATCATATTTATTTTAACAAATTTCCCACTCCTGATATGAAAGGTTGTTTTAAAATATTTGCCATCATAATTTTAGAAATAATTAAATACAAAAAAGATAAAATAAAAGCTATCATAAATTACCACTTTCCAATAAAAAGTTTAATCAAAAACAAACGAGATTATCTTACTGGGTTGATATCAGTGGTCTATAAACTGTCACTGAACAATTTTTGGTGAATTTCATACATGTACAGGAGCATCACTTTATTGGCTGTTTTTTCACTTTTAACATTTCTTTTAATGATTCCACTCATTGATTCTTACCATTTATTATTTATTAGGAATCAAATACTCAGTTTCAGTCTTTATCTACAAAATTTTGTTGCACTGGTTTTAAATATTGCTGCAATTAAGCAAGGAGTGTCCTTATTTTTTAAAAGCACTCATTCCTGATATGTAAGAACCTTTTTTTTAATATTTGACATCAAAGTTTTTGAGATAATGAATATTATTGACAATAACAAAAATACAGTCTTAATAATATATTAAAAATCAGCAAATGCTAAAAATAATATAAATCATATAAATATATGCATAACAAAAGACAGGGATTTCAAAATTACAAAATGTTGGTACTATATTTGTTTTTAACTGAACAATAGTTCTTACATTTCTTTATATTCCACATGGAAAATGAAATTCCAGTAGTTGGCTATATACCATGAATCATAAAATCTTGCCCTTTCGGGTTATAATTTGCCTTTCGGCACTAATAAATCCATCATCAGTGCAGTTACCAGGTATACATGAGGACAGCCTCTAAATAAGTAGGTAAAAACCCTTTAAATGATGTTAACTTTGTTAATTATTACATATTTGTTGTTAAATTCAGTAATATGGGTCCTCGAGGACCTATAGAACCACCTTCTCTTGCGTTGGCAACCTCTGTTAGCCTTGCGTTTTCATGATGTAAATCTATTTAAAACTACATCATTTAAATTTAACAACAAATTTGTATTATTAACAAAATTAACATCATTTAAAGAGTTTTTACCCACATATTGTAAGTAACTGCACCGATAAGTAAAAGTAAAGTTTGTGTAACCTTCTGGCTAAGGTATAGTGTTAGGGTTTTCAGGTCACACAAGCGCCCCTAACATGACTTACAACTATTTTCGTAGCCGGGACTGAGGGCTGTTAAATTAGAAATTTAAAATTTTGGCGGTGCTGGGATTCGAACCCGAGCCCTCCAACTTATTAAGCCAGTAACATAGCCACTGAGCTACTGTTGCCACTGATGATGGGCTTATTAGTCCAAAAATGTTCTTGTGATGTAACCCGAAGGGCAATTTTAGAATATACCTTTATAAAGGATTGTTTGGATAAAAGCTTTTATTTCTTTATATATTATTTGTAAAATTTTAGAAATTTTGAAAATTTCTTAAATTAACTAGTAGATAAAAACTGTATGTAACTTTTTTTTCTTAGAAGCTGTTTTTTGTTACAACTGACCATACTGCAGCCAATTGATTTATTATGTCTTCCCCTCATGTAATCTACTGGTTCTGGTTTTAGTATTAGCAACTACTTACATAGCTAGGACTAATGGTTTTATGTGTCCTCAGTTAAATTAGAAATTAACAATTTTTGGTGTCTATGCAAAAATCAAATCTGGGATGTCTGGCTTGTCTAGTCACTGAGCTACTGCCACTACTTTTTTGTTGGGTTGACATACTGTAATGAGAATTTTTTCTTTCTCCATAACAATACTTAAGTATTTTTATAACTATGGAATACTTATATTAAAGTTGTTTTAAAAGAGTAAAATGTAAATCACATCTACTACCACTTCTCATATTTCACTAGAGATTTGCTTTTTATATGTTTTCTTACAATAACTTTGCTATAATATAAGATACACATCTTTTCTTTTTGGTGCTGGTGAAAAAATTTTTTGAGATTTTTATTCAAATGAATTAAAAAATTTAAAATTATTCCACAAAATGTATTGCATTGATGTTTTTAAGTGTATTACAAAATCACTACTACTTATGAGACCTATATCTCTTGAGGTATTCTTGATATTTCAATATTTTCTATATAAACATCTCAAGTTTTAAATCAATATTGATTAGGTTTCATCATCTTGTCAGAAAGTGTGTACTCATAATGTTAATGATACATAAGTGTATTTTATTATCAAAAATAAAATCTAAACAATTCCCAAATGTTGTTCATTAAAATTTTATGTAAATAACTATAAGTCCTTGCATAATAAAGTTTCATTTTGGAATTACTAGCACTAATTAAACTATTACAAGTACTGTTCTCAAGATACAGAACTTTTACCAAACCAGAAAAATTTACATTTATTCTGAAATCTTCAGATTAATTTATAAAAAGATTAACTTATCCAAAAAATAAAAAATTCTTCACAAAAATCAACCACAGCTTTTATTTAACTGGTTTTTTATTATAAATAATATAGAAAAACATTAGTTAATAAATGATTATTCAAAATAATAGAAATAAGTGAACAAAGTGGAGTAAATAGTAGTAAGGCAATAAAAAGACTTCCCTTATAACAATGAAAAAAATACTAACCAGCTGAAATTTTAAAAGTATATCCAATAAAAATTTATACACTGAAACAACCTCTGCATAACTTAATCAAATGATGGTGAAGAAATCCACTTTATCCAGTTTTGATACCAAATTTCTCTCATACACCACATTCAATGTTAAAAAAAGTTTCCTGGTAACTCAGGTTTCACTGTACTAGTTTTGTATTATTGTCAAATGAAAGAGAAATCAACTTCTTCCAAACATTATCCAGAGAGATCATAGGAAGATATAAGGTAGAAGTAACAAATTTCATAGCTGTGAGTATCAATTAAGAAACTGCTATTTAGGGAAGGAGACCTCCTTAGTACTAGTTAACATTAAGTAAATAAATAAAATATTTTCATGATAAATAAAACTGTTATTATTAAAGAAATATTGTAGATCTATATAATACATATTTGATAAATGATTCAAAATATCACAAAATGATGAAACAAAAATAGCATTTACACAAAAATAATATTTTACTTCATTTTCATTAGTTTCTTAATTAAAAACTACATTTTTAACACTTTAGGTAAACATATTCATAGTGTTCAAGGGTATATGTATGAGAATTTATGCAGATTCGTTTTTTAATGAACATTGCAATTTGGCTACTTAAAATTATACAACCTAATAAATGATTATCATTTAGTTAGGAACTAAATTTTAGCAAAACCTGTAATTTTTTGGTTTTAATAGCATTATTAAAACTTTTGTTTAAATATTCATGAACAATAAACTTTATGCCTTAATAAAATTTCTAAAAACAATGTACTGCATAATACAATCATGTGATGTTTTCAAACAATAAAAAATACAGGGTGTATGTCAATCAACAGTGTACTGAAAGAAGAGTTAACAATACTAAAAATTGCTTTGACAGCAATATCTAGGTCAATAGTAGCTACCAGAACTATATAGATACATACAGGGTATCCTAAATTAAAGCAAAAATATAATATTTTTTACTCAAATTATATTTATTTTATTTTTGGTCTACATAAAACCATTAATGCTGGTGTGCAAATACATTATAAACTTTGCAGATCAAATCTTCCTCCCCTCAATATACACTGATACACCCACCACTAAATAAAATATATTCTATTAACTTCCAATTTTTGCAAAATCAAGAGGACAGTCACTAACTAGATGGTCAAATCAAATTCAGAATACAGTGGTTTACTGATTATGGAGTATTGGAAGAAGTGATGATCCTCAATTATGGGGAAACAACAAAGGATATATATCCAATATTTGTTATCTCTTATCTTTAAACAAGAAAATTATATATGAATGTTAAATGAAATTTATTTATAACTGGTTTTTAACCCAATTGTCATACCTACTATATGTGACTTAGACTTGTTTGTCTATGAAGCATGGTCTTGTTTGTCTAAAAAGCACTGTTTTGATTGATTGACTTGTTAGATAAGAAATATGAGATGATGTTATTCCTGTAGGAATAATTTTAGTGTACACAGCTACTATTATAGTTTAAGATTGTAATTTTATGATTATTATCATTTTCTTTCCTTATAAAGTATTAAAAGTGAAGACTGGCTGAGTAGTAAATGATGATGCTACAAAAGTGTTACCCTACATATATTTTGAGTAGTTTGATTTTTATGTATAGCTCTTCACATGCAGTATTACTGGATTAAGTAGTTAAACTATATTACAGAATGTTTTGAGCTATGTATCAAAATAATTTCAATTGTTCAAATGGACAACTAAACAGACAATGGTGTTACTAATAAACTAGGTTTGCTGACCCCAGTCCCAATTGTCTAGTAAATTTAATAATCATTTTTTTACTACATTTGTTAAATTTTGACCCACTGGATGATGCTGAAAATTATTGTATAACCAAGCACACATGCTCATAGCTAATATTTAAACAAACAAATGCAGTTTATCATCAATATTGAACTGCTAAAATATAAAAGTTTACTTAACCATCTATTTTTTAAACTTTTGATACTCATGATTGACTCTTTTTACAAATGGAAAGTTTTTAATGAAAATTAATGAATTTCCACTCCCATTATTAGGTGAGAATTTTGTATTGTATTTGCTATTACTGTTATTTAAATTTGTATATCTTTCCAACAATGAATCTATCAATATATTCCCAAACTGAGCAAACATCCTATAGGAACATTTTGCCAACACATTCAGCTTTTCAACAATATAAACAGACAAAAATAAATTGGTTCTATTGTATAGAAATCTATTATTCAACTAGAATAAATACACTTGAATAATAATACAATTTTTTTAATTAACAAAAATTTTGCTTATTACAATTCTCTTTAATTTTTGATACCCTGTATATGCCCTATCAATTTTAATTTGTATCTGACATTGGTACACATATACCTGCCAAACAAATTTGTTATATATTTAAGGTACAAATGCCATCTAGAATAATAAGAAATGGCACATTTTTAACAAATTGTTTTGTATCTTATCTCTTATATATGGCCATCAAGCTTTGTTTATATTATTATAAAACTTTTGAAGATTACAAATTTTTTTTTATTTCATTGATTCTGTATTTTAAAGATTGCACCAAAAATTTTTGTCCAAAAACTACTACTTCATGATGGTTAGTTGATCTCTAAAACAGCACATCTTTAATATAAAATTCGAAAAGGTTTTTCAAAAGAAGTGCCCTTATGTGATAGTTTACTTACCAGAATTTTAAAATTCTAAAAAAAAACAAAATGGAGAACATTTGAAAAAATTTACATTTTTTAAAATTTTTTCAGTCACAAAAATTTTAATATTTTTTTTAGTCAAATTTTGGTAAACTATCAGAGAAAACCAAAACAAACAAAATGCATGAAGATTTATTAAAATCGACCTACTAGATCTGGTGATTTTAAAGTTTTGAGAGGAACTAAGAATGTTTTTAAAACTGGTGGACATTTATCTCTGGATCTAGCCTGGTCAATTTTAATAAACCTTGATGCATTTTGTTTGTTTTCATTTTGTCTATGACAGTATACCACAATTAGACAAAAAAATATTTTTGTAACTGAAAAAAATTGAAGAAAAATTTTTTTCTGTCCCCCATTTTTTTTTAAGAATATTATGTCCCCCATTTTTTTTTAAGAATATTAAATTTTTCTGGTAAACTATCCCATAAGGGCATTTCTTTTTTAAAAGCCTTCTCAAATTTTATATTTCAGATTTTATATTCCAGAGATACTTAACTGTTTGCCATATAGCAGTAATTTTTGGATGAAAAATTTTTAAAATACAGGAACAATAAAAAAAAATTGTAATCTTCAAATGTTTATAATATTGATTGCCATACAAAATAGATAAGATCCAAAAAAAAAAATTGTTGAAAATGTGCCATTCTAGACAGTAATAGTTCCTTAATTCTTTGCTCTGAAGACTGTTCTATTTACACACCATATATATGCAATATATTCTTAGCAATCCCTTATGCCTTTTCAAGCAAAAAGAAGAGAAAATAAATTGAAACTTAAAATATAAATAAAAATTTATGTCTTACACATTATAGATACCTTTAGGTAATTGTGAAATCCCTAAAAATCACTATTTCAGACTAGCCATTACACATTTTTATCAAATTAAATAATAAATTGACACACTTGCTGATGTTAAATACATAAAACTCCATTAAATTCTTGGTATCAAAGTGCTATCAAAAAGTACACAGAAGCCGAAGTTAATAGACAAAAAAACAAGTATATACTGCCAAGCTATTATTTTTTCTACAAATATTTTCTCCCAAGGTCTTTGAATTAAGAGAGGTTGTTGTTTTATTGAATCAAAAATGACATAATAAATGTTGTCAAAGGTTCAAATAGAATAAATAATTGTATAAACAAAACAAGTCCATCATTTACTGAAATTTAAGTTAGATATGTTCAGTAAATTGCTTGTCCAAGTACCCAAGGGGAATATGTTTGTGTTAATAGCTTCATCTTTTATGTACTGTCATGTAAAACATATTATATTGGTATATATAAAGAATAACTCAATGAGTTTAGTTCACCCTACAAATTTTTAACTGTATACTATAAAGCATTTGACTTACACACTTCAAATGTTATCTGCAGAAGCAGATGTAAAAAGTTGATTTCTGAGAGACCTAAATGATTTTTTAATTTATCTCAAAACAAATACAAGTGGACTTCTTTGCTATATACAATTAATAAATTATGAATTTCTTTGGTAGTATAAACTGAGAAGATAAAAACATAAGGTTCAAATATTGACTTTTTTAGGATGTGGTTTTATGAAATTTAAAATACTATTTATGTAAAGCACACAATTCTATATATATACAGAATAAAGGTTGAACCTCTTCACTGCGACTGGCTTGTAACAGAGCTAGAGCAAAGACATAAGCTGATGCTTCAACCTCTCTACAAAGTATAGATCTGATCCAGTAGCAGCAGACATGATAATAGCTTTAAGTACAAATAACGATAACCTAGCTACTTGAAAAAGTGAAGCTCTAGATAATATTTTTAAAAGTAACTTTAACTGGTAATAGATTTTTAACATCATATACTTTTTAAAAAGGTTAAATTTAAATCACTACCATAATGGTATTAAATGGATCAAAAAGCATTAAAAAATGGTTTTTCTAAACTAATTCTCAACAACAAAGCAACTATACTTTTTCTTCTTTTTTCTTGCAAAAATGTCTCTTTTAGTAACAAACAGCTTAGCTGCATATCAGATCTGTTAAATGTCAGAATTGTTTACAAACACAAAGAAAAATCAGTATCCAAATGTCATAAGACATAAATACTTAATCTGACCCTATTCATTTTGAATATTAAGATTGCATTTACTCACTTCTTTAGATGTTAAATATTAACTTGTAATTATTATTTTTTTTCTGTTAACTCCAGCTTCTAGAAAGTACAGAGGACCAATCAAGCAAGCACAAACCAGTTAATGGAAGAGCCCCGGGCAGCAGTCTGTCACTAGCCTGAGACAGTGGCAAGGCTACTTACATAAATTATATAGTACTCAACTCTTCAAAACTCTGCAAATTCCTTGGCGCACTTTTCTGTTGAGGAGATGCGTAAGGCTTCTTCTTCATAGTCATCAAAATTACTAGTGTCTCCAGGTCCCTTGCATCTTGGTATAAAAGGGGCTTCAATCTTCTTTTGAAAAGTTGAAATCCAGTCAGTAGAAGCAAACCATTTGTGACCTTTAATATCATTCACTCCAGCTTTCAAGTTGCCATATCTTTTTGTCAAATCAACTTGTAGTAAATTGCGTAACAAATCTTTCAAGTCAGAACCAAAATGGGATGGAAAACGAACTTTTCCTGAAACTATTTTTTCATAGATCTGTATTGGCTGATCAGCAAAGAAAGGAGGATAACCAGCTGCCATTTCATAAACTAATACTCCTAGAGCCCACCAATCTACAGCTTTGTTGTAACCCTTACTGAGGATGATTTCTGGAGCAAGATATTCTGGAGTTCCACACAGAGTCCAAGTACGGCCCTTAACTCTTTTAGCAAAACCAAAATCAGTAACTTTAAGATATCCCTGGGAGTCAATAAGTAAATTCTCAGGTTTCAGATCTCTGTAAATCAGATCTAAGTAGTGAAGATATTCAAAAGCCAACACTATTTGAGCTGCATAGAAACGAGAGTGTGGTTCAGAAAATCTACCAACTTTCCGAAGGTGGGAAAACATTTCACCACCAGGCACATATTCAAGCACCATATATAGATTCGAATTGTCTTTAAAATGGAACTTTAGACTTACAAGAAAAGGGAAGCTGATAGCTTGTAAAATTCTCTTCTCGTTCAAGGTATGCTCCACTTGCTTCAATTTGACAACTTTTTGTTTATCTAAAATTTTCATTGCATAATATTCTTTAGTTGGTTTGTGCTGCACTATCATGACCCGGCCGAATGAACCCGTGCCAAGGGTTTTAATTCGTTCGAAATCATCTAGACTTGCAGTATTTGTGGGATTTCTCTTCCATTTTTCTTCGAAGTCCTCCTTCGCCTGGTCTAGGAACTCCTTTACGCTCTCCGCGGAATCTACTTTTTTATTCGCCGTAGCGGCATTGTTGCCCATGGTTTGAACTTTTAAGCCTTCCAGGGCTCCGACTTTAATAGTACACTCCGCCTAAAGCACCAAGTTTAGCGGAGGACACGAATGTCACTAATTCTACGATGTCAACACACCTTATTCAAGCTCATTTTGTTAAGTTCTGTTAAAACTTTAACAAATATGTTCTTAAGCACTACAGTTTTAAGCTTAAAGTTCAATATAACTAACTATTACAGCGAAATTATTTACGTATAACGTTGATTTTGTAACTTTACTTTAAAACCCCAATGTAAGATGGCCGATTACTGAGGAGCTGTGTTTTCTTGATATATCCGGATTGATTTCGTACAAAGAAAAATATCAAAATTTAATCACATGATCATGAACAACCAATAGAAATCCACGTGTATGCCAAGAAAGAGCATTCTAAATTCCAGAGTTACGACTAAAACGTATCAAAGAACTTTGTTCATTCTCAATACTATTTATGTCTTTGTCACTGTTTGTTTTACTTAATAGAAAGAGATAGAATAGTACGAACCAATCTGATTAGGAACGCGACTCTTATCATGTGGTTGTGACGTTTACGTATTTGGTACGTTCGTTTTCGTTGAGCCATCAATTATAAAAAGAAGGCCAAAGGCGAAATAAATATTCTCGACAGAGATAGTATATATCTCATCGGCCAAACAAAAATATCTAAATTCAGCATTTAAAAATTTGTTCAAATAAACGTCACAGCAGAAATCCGCGTCAAAAATAAGATCCTGAATAAATTTTATTTTTTGTTTGTTAGAGCATTTGTGGTTAAATTTACAAATTACCTTATTTGTTTATATTATGTGAACTTCATAATAAAAAGAGCAAGAATAATTTTTATTGTATCTTAGATTCATTTAAATTATGCATACATTATTAAAGAGAATAGATTTTTAGGAATTATAAGCTCTTAAAAGTCACAGACTATCATAGAATGTAATATTTCAAATTAATAATTTTGATTTATTTTGAAATTATTTATTATTTGCACCGAAAATTGTTCATTGCAATTTTATTTTAGAGCAGTCATAGACGTACGTAGTTAATTTTATACCGTCCAAAAGGGATCGCGTCGTTATAACAATTTAGTTTAACAATATAATTTCAATATCTTCCAATCTTAATGAATATTCACATCAAACCTTTTATAAATAAAACATGCGATATTAAAATTGACGCAAATCACTTGCATTATAACATAATACGTTTATTGTCTTATAATTTATTTTAGAATAATAAGATTGTTTTCTCTATTGGTAAGAAAAAATACATTGTACCAATTAAATTCCTATTCGACATTAAACCGTATTATTTTTTGACAGCCTATAATTTTAAAGATATTTTTTAAGCCTATTTTTATGCTACGCTTTATATAATTTTATCTTTTCTTGATCTCTCTGACCGCCGTTAGATCTCTTTAGTCCTAAGTTTTTTCCTAAATCTGTTCTAAGTATTTCAGTTGCAGTATCTATATAAATTATGACTGCTTATCTATATAATTAAACTATATATTTAAATTAGGAATACCTTTTGTATTCTAACTCACTTTATCTTGTATCCAAGCCGTCAATTCACTTAAGGCCGATTCAAACACTTCAGTCACGTCTCGTCACAGTCCCGGCGACGAACCGAACAATCCGTTATACAAAATATTCTTTAAATAGACATATGCCGCCGGCGTTCAGATTCATCAGTCGACGAACAGTTTCCCAGCAGTCAAGTTTCGAGACGTCTATCGCCCGGCCGATTTTATAATCTCAGCGACGAATTTTTGGTTTTGCCGGGAACATGACGGGCGGTACACGTGAACAAAATAAAATTAAAAATCCACTAGGAAACTAAGTTCCTGTAGCTGGCTGTATACCATATATCACAAAAAATTTATTTAAAATCCTTTATAAAAGGTATATAATAAAATGCCCAAACGGACTATCACAAAGATATTGCAAAACGTTTTCGGATTATTAAATCCATCATCAGTGCAAACGAGGTATACATGCTATGAGCCACCAAAATATATGGGTCCAAACCCTTTAAATGATATAACTTTACATTTGCTTTACATTATATGTGGTTACAAATTATGATGTTTAAGTTACCGTTGGAATTGGTAACATGGCGACGTATGACCCTACATAGGTAAAATGGTCCTGAGACGAAGTGTCTTCGAGGACCAACAATTGTTGTTATCAACAGGTGCTCGAAGACACTTCGAGGACCTGTTGACCACTTAATATAATGTTTGAGAAAATTTAATGTTTTATATAATTTGTCGCATGTAAAATACATGGACATTAATTTAAAAAATAATATTTGACAGGAAAGCAATTTTTCGACATCCTAAAATATTTTTATGAAATTTTACATCATCATGAAGCAGTTCTTTATACAGTGTCACGTAGGTATTCTCATTCGGTATCCCTTTTTTTCTATGCGTCATGGATCCATTTCCGTCTTTTTGCTTGGTTTGCTTCTGCTTCTTTTTCTTCCTCGTCCAAACATATAGCAATTACAGTGGAACCTCGATTATCCGTTAGAGCACCGGACCAAGGGTATGACGGATAATCGAAAAGATGGTTAACAGAATATTAAAAAAAATTCATAGTATAACTCTTAAATTTTATTTGTATGTTTTATTTGACAATATAAGAGGGATTTATGTTAGTACACTCGAATCAATTTGATTTAAATTATTCTTAAATCTGTGTTTGTTTTATTGTTACTTCACATTGTGCAACGGCTGAATTTCTTAATCGACGTACAATCATCAAATCTACCTTATTTGCTTCTTCTGGCCGAGAATACCGCTTGATAAATTGTTGTATGTGCGATGCAGCTCCTCTAGCTTATTTACGCAAATCTTTGTGAGTTGTAACCAGCATCATCAACATCGCCACCATCAAAGGTTCTGTCAACTTCTGAATCAGTTTCGTCCGCCTCTGTTGCCAGTTCAACGATTTCATCATCTGTCAACAATCGATAGCCGTTTGCGTCTTCATCACAAATTAACCATTCGTTTATGTCATCTTTAGGCAACGAAAGCAAAACAGTTGATTCAGCCATAACTTCATTTAAGGGGAGCATTTTCATCTTAAGTTGATTCAGGCCATAATTTATTCCAAGCTCTTTTCAGCGTTACATCCGAAACATCAGCCCAAGTATCCACAGCATTGTCGACGTGTTTTAAATTGTATGCTTTCCAGTATTCTGGCAAAGAATATTACTCTTCCATAACTTCTTCTTCTTAAAGTGCCCTCTCCTCACTGGAGGTTGGCTACTACAATTTTAAACTCTTCTTCAGCTGTTCTTATTAGCTGTTCAAAATTTAGCCCTGTCCATTGACGGATGTTTCTGAGCCACGATAGTCTTTTCCTTCCTAGGCCTCTCTTTCCCTCGATTTTTCCTTTCACTATAAGTTGGGCATATTGGTACTTATTATTTCTCGGTATGTGGCCTAGGTATGATGTTTTTCTAACTTTTACTGTGTTAAAAAGTTCTCTTTCCTTGCCTATTCTATGCAGCACTTCTTCGTTTGAGGTATGCGATGTCCATGAAATTTTGAGTATTCTCCGGTAGATCCACATTTCAAAGGCCTCCAATTTATTTACGGTTGATGTTTTAAGGGTCCACGTTTCAACTGCATATAGAAGAGTCGACCAGACGTAGCATTTTTATAAACGTAGTCGAATTTCGAGTTTTATTCGAGAATCACAAAGCAGTTTTTTTATTTTTTCGAAAGATTTTCTGGCCTGTTCTATTCTCGATCTTATTTCTTGATCAGGATTTAGGCTGCTATCGATCCAACATCCCAGGTACTACTTAAATCTATTGACCTGTTCTGAGATGTGCCCATTTATTGTGCAAGGTTGAGGTACGTTTTGGTTTTTTCGGTTTGACATTACTTTGGTTTTTTTAATGTTTATTTTCATACCAAATTGCTCACAGGTCGAGTTGGTCTTGTCGATGAGTCTTGTAGACCTGAGTCGGAATCCGCAATTAACACTGTATCATCGGCGTATCTGATACTGTTGATATTTACGCCATTCACCTTGACTCCATCCTTGGAATCCTCCAATGCTTCTTTAAATAGGAACTCGGAGTAAAGATTAAACAGCAGAGGCGACAGAACACATCCTTGTCTAACTCCCCTCCTAATTTCTACTTCTGCGGATGTGGAACCTTCAATTCTAACTCTGGCGTTTTGGTTCCAGTACTAGTTTTTAAGAATGTGATGTCTTTTCCATCTAAACTGACTTCTTGCAAACGTTCTAATAGTAGGTCGTGTCTTACTCTATCAAATGCTCTTTCATAACTAGGTTTTGAATAATTTTTTTTCTGTATTTTCTTTTGAATGTTTTAATGACCGACTGATCCATTGGCTGTATCAATGATTTTATATTCGCAGGCAGAATAGAGTACGTGTTATTTTTATCGTCACTCCGCAGCATATCAGCTTTAGGATGGGCAGGTACATTGTCCAAAATGAGAATCGTTTTTGGTGGAAAATTTTTTGCAAACAAAATGAATTTATGACTAAATTGTTTAAAAGTTTTTGAACATTTTCGTGTTTTTCAACATTCTATTATAAGATAAGTATATTTAATTAATTATTACAACCAAACTTTCATTCATGATACAGGCAAATTATAGTAACTAGGTGTATTTAGGCTACAAAATGATGTGTCTGTGTAACGCCTTCTGCTCGATTCGTTTAGCCGGTAGTGTGGCATTTAGGCAAGTAGCCACGTCTGTGGCCACTACTATGCCCGACATAAAGTAAAATATATTTTCATTGAAAAATAATAGTATTGTATGTTATTTACAAAACTATTGATCATTTCAAACAGCATAATAGCGTGTGTTTTATTTGAATTCTTACGGATTAAAGTCTGGTTTAATGGTTTTCACCTGCAACAAGTCCATTTTAGCAAGTAATGTAGACAGTAATTATATTCAAAGATCACTTATTGTACTATGCATTTACATGATACAATAAATTAATATTACTGTATACGATTATTGTAGCTTTATTTAAGGTAAAAACGCCGTCATACTTTCATATTTTAATGCTATT